CCACCACTCAAACAGGGTTTTGGGGTTCAGATGCACTACTGAGCTACGGGGAGAATCATCCATCTCCGTGGCTGGTGGGGTCCTGGGCCCTAATTTTAATATACAACCTAGACACTCACTTATAACACTCTCACGACACATGCATATATAGGATCTGGAGTGGGCACATGATCGCACTTAGGTGGTGGGATGTACTACCATTTCCACCTCCCCGGACCTGTGCCCACTCTCATATGTAGCATGTAGACATTTAGGGTTCTGTGCGGAGATGAGGGGTGAACGGGCGCCGCCTGCTCTCTGGGCAAGAGGTGGGTCTGTGCCGGTCGCCACCTCATCCCCCCATTTTAAACGCACTGTATAACAACATGCATCAACACCATATTCGAGTGGGAGGAGAAGGAAGTGGGTCTGTTCATAATTTATTTATGCATATATAGATTTATTTATTTATTTTATTTTTTTTATTTTTTTATTTTTTCCCCTTTCACAAACACCTCCTTTCTCCGTGTGACACTAGGGGTCGGGGATGGAGGGGGGGGGGCCGCATTGTTGGGGTCTGGGCTGCGGGTGGGCTTTGGGCCTTGGGGGCGGTCAGTGTTGGGGCCGGTGCTTCGGTTCCTCCTGGGCTGTTCCGATTCTTTTAATCTAGGTTCCTGGTTGCGATGGACGGCACTCTGACCGGGGTGGCTGCCGGCTTTTGGCGGGGGGTCGGCTATGGTAGTGTACGTGTGGTCATTGGTGGTGTAGGGTGGCGGTTGGGGGCGTGGCTTCATCTCATCCGGGCACTGGCTGGTCTTCCTGTGTGGCATTTGCGGTGGGGGTGCTCTGTGTGTGGGGGGGTGCATGGGTGGCGTGCTGGGGCGTCTCCGGGCCTATGGTGCGGAGCTCTTGATGTGAGAGCCGGCCCTCCTCGGCTGCGGCTCCCTGCTGCTCTGCCCCTTGGGCTGGGGCCGGCCTGTGGTCGCTGTCAGGTAGATGGTGCATGCGGTCGGCCCGACAGAGATTCTGTCGGGCTATCTGTGTGTGCCTGTTGGTTGCTCGGGTTGGGTTTTTGGTGGTCCCCCCTCTCTTGGATCAATTTGGGCCCCACGTTTGGTGTGGGGTCCACTCCCCCCGGTCGTGCCCCCCTTTGGCGGGGGACTCCCTTGCCGCCGGTGCATTGGTGGCTCTCGGTGTCTGGGCTGGGTGGTGGGGTGCACGTCGGTCCGCCCTGGTTGCTGCCTGGCGGGGCCTGGGTGCCCTGGCTCTGTCGGGGCTCTGCTAGGGGGTGGTATGGCCTCGGGGCTTGGGGCTCGGTGTCCATGGCCGGATCTACTTGGGGGGGGCATGGGTCGCTGGCCGGGCCTGTGGGCTCGTCGTTGCAGCTTCCTGGAGGCTCTGCATTGTGGTGGCTGGGGTCACCCGGTTCTTTCCTCTGCTCCTCTCTGGGGGGGTGCGGTTCTCCCTGTTGGGAGACTCTTGGGGCTCCGGGCCTGTGGGCCGCTGTGTGTCTGTGGCTCCGGTCCTCCCTATGTTGCCATTGTGTCCTGGGGGGGCGGGTCTGTGGGCCCCCGCGTCCACTATTGGGCATTCTTTTGGAGAAATCTGGTGGTGGTGGGCGTGCTTGCGCGGGTGTTTGGATTCAGGTGCTTTGACAGATGCACGCTAGGTTGGGTAGTGGCGGAAGCTAGATGATTCATTGTGCGATGTCGAATGTTTCATGGTGATATTGTGGGTGGCATTGTGCTGTGCATGTTGTTTTGTCATGGTGGTCTCTCGTCTTATCTTCTTCTTTTTTATTATTTATTTATTCTTCTTTCTTCTCTTTCTTTAAAAAAAATAATAATAAAAAAAAAAAAATTGAGCGATGATGATAAGTTCATTGAAACACTTCACAATGTTTCTACACTTAAACTGAGCTCACAAACAAAAAAAAAAAAAAAAAAAAAAAAAAAAACATGGCTGCCACAGCTTAGCAAACAGGTAAATGTCTGTAACTCAGTTAATTTAACAGATATTAAGCTGAAATATGCTGTGGTAGTAGCTGAGCATTCCTTTATTCCTAGCATTCATTTAAGGAGTGCTAGGACGTTATTTTCAAACAGTAAAATACAGTTTCTCAGGCAAATAAGTTCATAAATAAGGAAGCTAGTTACCGGTACATTTAGAGACCCGTTGGAAAAACTTGTATGTTTCTTATATCTAAGGAGGAAAAAGGATCGGGCAACGACTCCAATCATAAAGTGACAGGGTTATCCCAACACCTCGTTAAAATAAAAGGTTTGTGTTTCCAAACAGAATGCACAATAATGACTGGTTTACCGTTTTTTTGTTGCGCCAGTCAGTAAAAGTCTCACAGTAATGATTCACGTTTAATTCCTGCGCATAAAGACAATCTTGGCCGAATAAGTGCGTCCAAAAATGGAGTCTCCTTTGGGAGCACGTCCCTGTGGAGCCATCTAATAAATACTGTTGTGATTGCTTACACAGACTGCGTAGTTCCCTGCGCCCTCTCAGTGATCTTACTTTACTGTGAAACCGCTCAGACATCTGGTCTCCTGTTTAACGCTCAACTTTAAATAGAGATGGTATTCCTAGAGAAGTCTGATCAGCTGGCAGGCTGATCAATAAAAAGGTGCAGCCATATTTCATGCTGCGGCTTCACGCCGAGACACCAGTCTGACCTCGGAGCCACTCGGCCTTCCTGTGTCAGGGACTCAGATTGTTTTTGCACAACCCCTTCCTCCTGCTGAGGAAATGCTACGTGAGGGTTCCTCTGCCTTATTCATTTGTATCCCTGGGGGGGTGGAGGTGGAGGGGGACTTGTTTTTGCAACATTAACCTTTGCACTTTAGCATCTCAAGAATGTGATAGAAACAAGCCAAATATCTCAGCTGCTCTCCCACACTGCGCAGCAGGCAATCTCAAAATAGACCGCTTCCTTTGAGGGTCTGCAAGGCTTTCTTAGTTCAGCCTATGTTAGTTCTGGGATGTCATCATTTATACACACTGTGTATATATATATATATATATATATATATATATATATATATATATATATACTGCCTTGCCAAAAGTATTTGCTCACCTGCCTTGACTCACATATGAGCTTAAGTGACATCCCATTCCTAATCCATAGGGTTCAATATGACATTGGTCCACCCTTTACAGCTAGAACAGCTTCAGTTCTTCTGGGAAGGCTGCTCCTTAGATAGAGAACTTTACCAATTGGCTTTTATGTATGTGAATGTTCCTGTTGTGATTTGGCGCTATATAAATAAACTGAATTGAATTGAAGGCTGTCCACAGGTTTAGGAGTGTGTTTATGGGGATTTTTTGACCATTCTTCCAGAAGCACATTTGTGAGGTCACATACTGATGTTGGATGAGAAGACCTGGCTCTCAGTCTCCGCTCTAATTCATCCCAAAGATGTTCTATCGGGTTGAGGTCAGGACTCTGTGCAGGCCAGTCAAGTTCATCCACAGCAGACTCTGCCATCCATGTTTTTATTGACCTTGCTTTGTGCAGTGGTGCACAGTCATGTTGGA